GAATAAAAATGATTAAACCTAAAACCTATATATATATATTTCTTAAAAAGTTTTTTCTTGCAACTTATATTGCTTCTTCTTGTGTATTACATTTTTTTCCCTTCCCCTTTTTCTCAGGTGCATATGAATGTGCTTGTGAGAGTATATATGTTGCATCTTTTTAGTGTGTGAAACTTTTTTTAGGCATATGTAAACGATATACTAAGCACATTGCTTAGCTTACGCTAGCAACGATTACGTGTTACATCAATTCATTTAGCAGATAAATTTTTGGTAGGTGTGAAACGATTTGAATCAACTAAGTATCAGTGCTTAACTTATCAATTCATTAGCGGCTAATAAATTTAATTCAAATATTGAGACCCAACATAAACTTATTCATCAATGAATTGATATGACATTCATTTGATACTTAACATAAGCTAAGAATGGAACTTAATAGATTATATACCTCAAAAAATTGTCCCAAATGATATCACATACATTGACTATTCATTTTTCTTTGAAGCTCATTTACTCCACGCCCCAAGAGAAATATTATGAAACGTTTACATGAATCACAAGATAAATTTTAAATTGTTCAATTTAGTGATTTAAGGACCCGACTTGGGACCAATTTTCGATGGTCGTCCCTCAATCATTTACCTATGTATTTTATACTGTTTCGAAGCTCTCTATTGAGTTTTGAAATGTATATTTCGTTGCAAAAGCCAGTCGTGAAGTCCAGCATTTGACAAGCCAAATTTTTATTTTTTGAGTTTTCCCTTTCCTGAAGATTGAGCATTGGGATTGAAAGTGTTGCTAACTTGTTAAAATTTATTTTATGTCTCGAAGCAAGCTTATATGTTATAAGTATGGTTCAAATATTAACTTTTTAATTCAATAGTCTTCGTAATACAATTGAGCACATGTAAAAATATGACTAACATAAGACTCTCTTCGAGAACACTGCAACCACATTAATTTATTCTCTTGTTCAGCTCGTAGACAAGAGTCGCGTGTAGAATTGTGCAAGACCGCACATAACATTGTCTCATGATTTAATAATTCAACTTCAAATAAGGAATTACCACATAGTTAAAAAATTTTAATTGAAATATGTGCCTTATCCCATTGTGTACTTATATGTTAACATGACACAAAGTGGTACAAAAATCAATAGGTTTATGTTTCACAAGTTATTTTATTTATACAACAGTCTATGACCTAATATCTCAACAAATATGAATATGTAGTAAACTTAAAAAAAATCTAGCCAACGTGTCGATACCTTGGATGTAAGCCAGTAAGGATTGTGATATTTTAACGTCTAGGTACCCCTTGAATAAAACTCACGGGGTTAACAAAATATGATATTTTACTTATAAATAACTTTTTTATATTTTTATTCACAAGTTAATTTTGAACAAAATATGTTGATTGAAAATAATTATTTTAATAAAAAGTAAAATTAGAAGGGAATATAAGATGTGTCCAAAATTCATCGATTTTCTGGGTTAAGAGAATTGATCAAAATTACACCACACCAATTTTGAGTAGGTTTTAAACCATCTGAAGTCACTATCCAAAAAACTAGCAAATATCGATTTTTTCGTCTCTTCATAAACAGTGCACAGTCGAAATTGTCAAAAAAAAAAAAAAAACTCTCACTTAGGCCATTGGGGTTTCAATATTCTTGAGTCAAAATTATATTATTTAACCTATTTACATCTTGTTAATTGACACATATGTCCTTTTATTTATTTATTTTTGAGGAAATTACAAAAAATCGGGTGTTTAAATAATGATTTTAAAAAATTAGGCTTAAAGTTTAATTATTCAAAAATCANTTGAGTCAAAATTATATTATTTAACCTATTTACATCTCGTTAATTGACACATATGTCCTTTTATTTATTTATTTTTGAGGAAATTACAAAAAATCAGATGTTTAAAGAATGATTTTAAAAAATCAGGTTTAAAGTTTAATTATTCAAAAATCAGGTAGTAATTTTATATTTTAATTAATATTAAACATAATATTATTAACCCTAATTTTATCAATTCCCTCGTTGATGGTGTTACGTCGGGGTATGGTAGTGGTGTTGATGTAGGTTGTAGTGGATTTAGATCTGGTTGGTGGTTGTGGTGATAGTGTGTGGTTGGATGCGGTGGTGGTGGTGGGTGAGTGCGCTATGGGTGCGGTGGTATTGGAGATGTGGTGGCGGCACTGTCGATGTGTGGTGTTTGATCGGTTGTGGGGCAGATGTTGTGTGTGCTAGGTTGGTAGGTTCAGATCTAGTTTGATGGCAGTGGTGATGGTGGTGATGTTGTGCTTGTGGTATTGTGTTGTTATTGTTGGTGGTTGTGGTGGTGGTGGTTGTGGCAGAGGCGACAGGATGAAGAGTATTTGTAACAATTATTTGGTTGATTTGTGACCAAGTATTGGTGGTGGATCGAGATCGGGGGTTGGTTTTTTGGTGTCTGTGACCAACTATTTGGTTCTTTGTGACTAACCGTTAGACCGTGACCGTAAATTTTGATAATTTGTGACAAAAAATTTGAAAATATGTGATCGATAGATAAACTGTGATCTATAAATTTTTTGATCTGTGACCAACGAAATAAATTGTGACCTATAAAATTTTTGATTTGTGATATCGAAATAATCTGGGATCAATAAAAGTTGTGACCTATAATTATGTATCTGTGACAATTAATTATATATTATTATATTTAATTAATAAAAATATTTTTAATTTATAAATAAATACCAGATTTTTGTTTTTAAACTTAAAACCTGATTTTTTACATTTGTGAAACTTAAAGCCTGATTTATGATTTTTTCCCTTTAATTTTTTAATTAGCTAAGTGTCTCCCTTAGGGAAAATTAGCTTAAACCAGCTCTTTAGTTTCACATTTTAAAAAATCAGGTTTTCACTTTATTTTTCCACTTTTCTGGTTTTTATCATTTTAATTTATCCCAACCCTAAATCTATCTATTTCTCTCCCCTCTCTCACCTCTCTCCATCGCCTCCTCCATTTCTCTCCATCCTTCCACCACCACCGCCTGCCACCTCCTCCATTTCTTCTCCCCCTTCCCTATGTTCAGTAGCGACGACCCTCCCCCTCCCTATGTTGAGCATCGCGACGCTGCTGCACTCTTCATAGAGAGTTGTAGGTGAATGTTTTCTGTAAACTTTTCATTGTTACCCTCAGAAGAAATGCCAATCATGGATGACTGAGTGAAAATTACGATTTGTTCTTCAATCTTTAGTGTTCTGAATTTTACCATATCCGGTTATCAGGCTCTTCGAAACGTGAATGACATATCGCAGGACAGTAACTCCA